TGGTGGTAATCTCACTGTTCCATGCATCATGTACACTTGAGCTACTTGAGGACTATCAGTAGTCCGATCTTGAGGTGTTCTTGCACTACGTCTCAATTCTAATGGTGGACTGTGACTATCCTCTATGCCTGTTTCAAGTTTAGGATCTAATGGTAAATGAGGAGATCGAGTTTCTTGAATATGATATATCCGTGGAGCTGTTAATGCCTCTTGTTGTGCACGTAGGTACTGATATTGCAGCATTTGCGGATGCATATAATGAGGTGGTATCTCTGCTCCTCTTGCTAGACCTCCAAAATGGTTTACAACGTCACCCTAGATACGAGAATATTGTGGATAAAGTCATTTTACACAGTATTCGAAAAATTTTTTTTTTTTTTTTTGGTTTGGTAAAAACATCTTTTACAAACATTTTTATATTGATGTATTTTAATAAAACTACAATAAAGTTAGCGTAGTAAGTACCTGAGAAGCATTAGTATGATGATGGGCAGGTGGAGGCAATGGAGGACTCTGGGATCGATGTGGGGGGACAAGTCCATATTGGCCCCCTGGTGATGGAGTAGCACCCGCACTTCCATGCTAGCCAAAACCAAGCCAAGTTAGTCATTTCGTTGACATTTTTAATATATATATATAGTTACACACAATCCGTTTTTTTTTTATTATTATGACACTTGACTATGATAAAGTCAAATTAATTTAAGTCAAAATTAAAATAAGCATGGATCACAAATAAACAATATATATAATTGTAATACTTTTATATATGATTTAAAATAATAATAAATATAATAAATTATGACTATTGTGCTTACCAATGGTCCTTCATAAGTTGATATTGGTACCCCTCGAGCTTGAGGACTTGCAGTTGGAACCATAATACAGCCAGACATTGATACTTCTACTTTTGGTGGTTCCATCGTTCCCGTTACCTACAATCAAAATAGAAATTAAGTTTTTTTCTCTTAACTTTGTATTTTCAAATCTATTATATTATATGTAAAAAAAAAGAAAAAAACTCGTACTGATGGTTTTGGTGCTGGAGGTCGCGAACAGCTCACATTAGCAGGTTGTGGATTCATCATATGAGGTTGAGTAGGTGGACTGGCCACTGCACCTGTGACCATTGGTGGCACCACTGCTTGCAACAAATGTGCTTTTGGATTCAGAGGATGTGGCTGACCATTAATAGCCTTTAATGCTGTTGGTTGGGAAACAGGTTGATGGATTCTTGGGGTAGGTGTTGTAGTTACATTAGCTGGATGAACGTTCATGGGTAATTTTTGAGAAGGAAGATTCACTATCGCGGATGTTTGTTGTTTGGCCGCTTGCAAAAGGTGCTGTTTCGGATTTGGTGGAACACCAGTATTGTTGAGAACCGGTGACATAGGCTGCCCTTGGCTTTTTCCATTCGCTGCGCTAATTTGTGGTGTTTGTTTACTGCGTGGGCTCAAACTCGGCGAGACTACTCTGTTACTGGACACTTGTAGATGTAGACCTTGCATCGGTTGAGTGGATTTTACGATGTTCTGCACAACCGATTGGCTAGGCACGCTAGGAGTTGCTGGTTTCGTGATCACCACTTGTTGTTGCACTGGTGTAGCTAATTTACTAGCATTTAATACATGAGCCTTGAGGCTCGTAGGCTTCGATTGAGTTGAGCAAGTAGGTGTCGTTGGCATCGCCACCGTTGTTGTAGCCACAGAAGTAACAGTGGTGGAAGTTGTCGCTGATTGAATTATACTGACCGTAGAGGTTACTTGAACTACCGGAGATTGTGGTTTCGTTATAACGCTGGTCTGTGGTTGAATCTGTTGATTTTGGCCCGGTTCTTGAATTTGTTCCTTTTTCGGTTCTTCGGAAATACTTAGATTTTCCGGTTGAGGTGGTTTCGGTCTTAACACTCCACTCGTGTTAAGAACAGCATTCGCCATCATTACTGGAGCAGTTCTGGACTCGCACGCATTTCTGTTTACGGACTGCGTCTGTCCAGAGGTCGTAGAAACTGGAATGTATTGACCTTCCTCCGACTCCCTCATCGGTATCAACATTCCAGTCACCGGATCTATCAGCGTCATTGGTTCATGAGAAACTGGTTTCTGCGTTGGTTCTGGTACAGGTTGACTGGCCTCTTCCGCTTTTGGAGTTTCATCCGGAGTTGGAACACTCTCTTCTTTGTTTTGAAGGTCTTGAGGTATGGATGGTGTTTCCTTCATCTTCATCAATTCGCGATACTCTTCGTCGTCATCGTTCTCGGATGTTCTTCGCGCAGATTTACCGCGCATGCTTCTCGGCGACTTTCTAGGTTCGGTCAATTGCATCGTGGCCTGTACGCGAGGCGAATTGTTGTGCCTGGTGCTTCGTCTTGTAGCGTGAACATTGCCAGATCCTCCCAGTACATTCTTGTTCACCGCGGAACCACGAACGACATCTTCGATCACATCGTCTATCGTGTTTCTAATTCCATCTCTCTCGGCCAATCTCCTCGACTTTCTCGTGTTCGCCGCTGGAGGGACAAACTCTTCTGGCGGTACTTCTTTCACTGCGGCAATAGGTGTCGCTGGTTGCGCATTGGGACCGGATAGATTCGGTACTGGAGACTTGATCGTGAGAATCAATCGTGGCCGTCCCGCATTGTCCTCCTCGCTATCGTCGTGAAACTCGTAAACGTCAGCTGGCAATTTGTTCTTCTCCACGTGATGTTTGCTTCCTCTAGGAGTTCTCGCTCCCCGTTTATGCACTACAGTAGCAGTATTTCTACTGCTTCGCCTGGTGGTTACTCCACCCCGGCTACCGCCTCCACGTCTGCTCTTTGTCCTACCACGACGACTCTTGGTCGATTCACTTTCACACGTTTCTACACCCTCATCCTGATCATCGTTTGCTGCAAAGTTCTTCTTGTTCTCGGTCTCCGTTACCTCGGCGTTGAACCATTCCGATTCGTTGGATTTCGGTTGCTCCTGCGTCTCGTTACCGGCGTTTTGATCATGTTGCGTTTCGTCACCGTCGTTGCCCTCGCCATCGCACAACGCGTCTACTTTCTTTATTACGCTCTCGATATTCACTTCTTTGGCCGACCAATAATCACTATCCTCTTTACTATCCGTTGGATCCTCTTTAGACACGTCGATGGCAAGTGGATCCGTGCTCGGTTCTTTCAACGGATCCTCCGCCGATTCCTCGTCCATATCCGCTTCTTCGTTCTCTTTCACAGCCTCCTCTTCCTTGATCTCGTTGTTCGCGGATTCTAACTTAACCGAAGAGGGCTCGATTTCCATTTTGGGAACAAGATTGTTATCGTTAGATTCACATTTCGGCGTACATAATAATTTTTCCGATTTGACAAGATCCTGTGACTCTACCTTGGTAAGATTATTCACGTCCACGTTGGTACAGATTGGCTGATTCAACGGACGTTCCGATTCTTCGCTGCGTGATTCCTCTTTCATCGTGGTGTCTTCTCGTTTCGAAATTTCGGGCGGTTCTTCTTTTATAATGTCCATCGGTTGTGTAGGTTGTATGGGCGGAGTAAGTTGCATGGGCTGCGCCGTTTGCGCCATCTGCGCGTCAGGATCCACCTCCAGCTCTTGGTCCGAAGATAGACGCGATTCCACGCACTCGGTCGTCGTTTGCTCGGTGTTGATCGGTGGCGACGATACTGTGGACACCGTCGATGGTACAGTTCTAGCGATAATGGCTTGCGACACCGTGGATACTAATGGTATATGAGGCTTCGACAACTGACCGCTCTGCATTATCGGCGAGTGCCTCTTGCTCGTGCTAAGAGGTAGCGACGCCTGCGCAATGATGCATTTCTCTTCGGATACGGTAACAGGTACTGTGGACGCGATCTGCTGCGAAACTATAGGTACAACCGTCTTGATCAGCGGTTGATTGGCCGAAGACACGGTGGATGCACCGATAGTATGCACCACAGACTTGTGGACTAGGTGAGATTGTCCATGACTGACTATCACAGGGCTCGGCGTTGAGGAGCGTGGCACATGAGTAGTTAAAAGTTGAAGACTCGAAATTTCTTGCTTCTGTCTCGGGGACAACAAATTACCATCCGTCGTTATAGCGCCTGGAATTTGTTTCTGATTTCTGGACGACAAGGAGCAAGTGTCCGAGATGCTGGTCGGTTTGCCGAACACTGGGCTCGACGTACTTGCGTTTATCTCGATCTTCGCCGTCTCGGGAATATACGTGGGCGGTTGATTCGGCGACGGAACTTTAGGCGAGGTGGAAGCCTTGTTCGTGGGCTCTGGAATAACAGCTGGCGATAATTTCGGTTCCTCGAGTCGCTGGGGAGGCTCGTTAGGATTTACCGGAAGTAACGTCTCAATCACGGATTTCCCACCCAGGGTGGAATCCCTCGAGCTTTTCACTTGTACACCCGGAGCCAACGGTGGTACAGGCATGTAAGGACGGTGTGGGATATTGAGCGTGAGAGGTGGCAAGCCTCCTCTCGGATGACTAGGCGCCAGAGCTCTCATTCCAGGAGCGTGCTGAATGACGGGTTGCTGGGTGGCAGCCGTGGAATAAATCTGTTGCGCGGGTGCTTCCGGTCTGTGCGCTGAAACGGGCACGCTTACCGCTATCCTGGCCGGTGGAGGAGACGGTTTACCGACGCTTGGTACATGTGGGCTGAGCGCCGAGTTTCGAGACCATTGCCCGTTAGGTGACAACGGTTGCAGGATTCTCGGCGACAATTGCGACGGCACCAAAGGTGGCATTCTGGATGGAACCAGAGGTGGCAGAGGAGTTTGATTCGAGGAGGCTGATGTCGAAACGGCGGAGATGTTTTGCATTCGAGGAGAGGTTTGTCGCATTGGTACCATCTGAGATTGCGGCGAAACGGGCAGCTTCTGGTACAAGGATTGCACGCTGATCGGCGGTGGTCTAGGACTGACCGCGGCTATTCTAGGAGTTTCACTGGTAATCGGTACGCTGCACGGACCTAAGACTGGCTGTTTGTATTGAGGAGGTGGCGAGGTCGAAGCTCGACGCGCCTGCTGC